TTCATAAAACCATTAAAATATATTAATTTAATGTATATACACCTCATTTAGGTCTTATATTTAGTGTTGTTATGTATTTTTATGATTTATTAAAGTACTTACAGTGTTTCAAAGTGTATCTATGCGTATCTTAGTTTTTCTCCGATACGCATACGTATCCAAGGCGTATCTCGATACATCTCTTAAAATTGCCTTTCCAATACACTTGGCGTTTCCGATACTTTAAACCTTGGCCTTGACAACTATACATACAGCAGATGGCTTAGCCAAATGTGGCGTGAATTTGGATCATTTGTATAGTGACAAGCATCCTCCTTTGTAAGTTGTTGGGGTTCTTCCCCTGCTTTGTACATCATCTTCCTTTAATGAATCCTGGTTAAATTTTTCTCAAAAAAATTTCCTATGTTCTATGACTTCTTGTCATTTGATCATCAAGTTCCCTAACAATGTGACCAAGATTATGTAAATACATAATCTTTTTTCTTTGATAGGATGTAAATACGTAATCTTGTAAAAGGTAAAAAGTCGAAACAAGGACGGAAACCACTCCTTTAAACAGCATGGTTGATTAACTTGCAAAACATGGGATGGAGAGAGACTGAGAGAGCAATCCTTTTGGGCTTTTTTTGTAATTTTGTAAGGAGAAATGGCCAAAACTGGGAGATAAAAACTATTTATCTCCCTATTGATGGGTTGTATTTTGTATTGCCCCTTATTAATTAATAAAATTATTGGTTATTGATCACCTTCGACCTGGGTGACCAGAATCTTGGAAACAGCCTCTCTGTACGTGCAGGGGTAAGGCTGTGCACATCTGTCCCTCCCCAGACCCCACAATGGCAGGAGCCTCGTGCACCGGGCTGCCCTTTTTTATTGGTTATTGATCCAAAAAAGAACTGCTCCTTCAAAGGACAATCCCCCACCCAGACAGTTGGTTATTGTCTACTCCATGTCTCAACAAACCATTAACCACTATTTGCTGATCTCAGTGTACGATTGAAGATTAATTCCAATTCCCCTCCCAATTTTTGACTTCCTTTGTTGCATGTCTACAAATCCAAATGCCTATGCACGCCTACAAGTCCATATGTTGGATTTGGATTTGAAGTTTCAATAATCGGATCAAATTAAGATGTGGATGGATCCGATCCAAATCCAACTTCAAAAAATTCAATAATAAAAAAGATAAGAGAATTACAAAGAGGTGATAAGGAATCACCCACAATATATACCAAAAAGAACAAAAACCCAGGAGCCCAACTTCCCCTTTTTAACCTTCTCCAATTCACTACGAAATTAAAATCCAAATTACCCTAACTCAAACATCAAGAAACCAACAATAGCATTAACAAAAACTTGAATCCCTAAACAATCTGCAAGATCAAAACCAAGAGACCCTCAATAATCAACCTCTGACCATTACCCACTACCCTACACCAGCAAGCAAATGGACCCTTCAAATAGTTACCCTCTCCACATACAATAAATTGTCGGCATCAGTGGCCACAGTAAGCGACTATCTGCTTCTATTAATCACCCTCTGTCTTCTTGACCTTGAGGATGGGCCTTGGCGCAACAGATGGGTTGCTTCATTGCAACCTGAGTGACCAGGGTCCAAAACAGCCTCTCTGTATGTGCAGGGTTAAGGTTGTGTACATCTGTCCTTCTCCATAACTCACAATGGTGGGAGCCTCATGCACTGGGCTACCCTTTGTCTTCCTGACCTTATTAGGTCCAATCCCAAGTAACCCCCTCCTTTAACCTGGCAAATACTTTGGACACATGACCAACCCAGGTATTTTTCTGACTTCTAAACCATCTACCTGCGTCTGGGAAAATTTTCAATTCCTCTGGAGTATCAGCAATAGTTCTTTTTAGCTCTAACACCGCATTCTTCTCAAAACCTAATCAGCTACCAGCCCATCATTCTCTTTTGATATACCTCCATCTTCTACAGGTCTCAACTCATCATTAACCCAAAATTCATTCATTTTTCTCCTTTTCCTTTGAAAGCAAACAAGACTTTTCTTCCAAATTGCTAAGAGCTTTGCTTGCAAATTCCTCTCCACCAATAAAATATAAGCCCAAGGTTTTAATCACCTCCCCCTCTTCATTCACCAGTCTCCAAGTTAATAGATCTTCCTAATTCATGGGTTTCAACAACTATAACCACATATAGCCGGGACCAATATAAGGTAATGGCCTTGTGTATGTAAAGAAGATAAAATATACAGATACAATACAGATAAGGTCATGAAAGCATAAACCTGGACTATGTAACAGTTTCCCCAGGCAACAACCCACATAACAGGCGATCAGAAATCTGTTTTTAGGCCCTGAGTATGTTTGTTCTGGTGAGATGTTGAGATGTTTAGCTTCTTAGTGCTTGGACTGAAATGCCATATACCTCCTTAATGTCTTCAATTTTTCTTTATGAAATTCTTTAACTAATGAAAAAAATATATATTTTTTTATTTGTATTTTCAATGCCAAGGAAACATGAAAAAAGAATAGGTGTGAATCTATATGACATAGAGCACATAAGAAAACAGAAAGTGATTTAATGAATAATTGCAATAAAGTCTGTGCTATTACAGATTGGTTAAAAGAACACTAGCACAAATCAGCATTGTTCACCTTAAACTTGGAAAACTGATCAGCCAATGACAACTCTTGCTGAACAATGTCCATTAACCTACAGAAAGATGTCAATGAAGTGTAAAAGAAAGAGTGATTACAAAGTACTTGGCTATAACTATTTACGACATAAATAAATAAGCAATAGTTGAAAACTGAAGACAACATAAGTAAAAGACAGCATCGTTCTTTGTTATTTCTGAAAAGTGTGGAATGATGGAATAGAATTGGTGTCGCCAGCCCCATGTAATTGGGACAAGGCTTAGTTGAGTTTTCTTTGTTATTTAACAGTTCTCTATCTAATACAGCAATTATTCTTCTTCCTTATGATTGTCTTCTTCTAATTTCTTGATGAAACCACAGTTCATTAAAATAAGTGTACAGTCTAACAAGCAAAATTAAAGCAAGTGTAATGATTTCTAGATACCAATATTCGGTTACATTTAAATTCACCAAGTCGACATTTGAAGCATCCACATAATCCTCTTTTCATAAGTGACATAGATTTCATTAATTAAATAGCAAATAGAGGGAGTACAATGACTAGAAAAATTCCAGACACCCAAAGTGAATCCACCCATCTACAATTCAGCCCAAAACAGTTGTTCCTTATTTACCCCTTGTTTGACCAAGTAATCTGCCAATCCATTTGCCGTTCTGATGTTCTCCTAATCTAAGTAAATGTTGCCCCCACCTCCTTGGCTAAAGTTTGAATTTCCCTTATTGTCTGTTTGTATTCCCAAGTTCCTCGAATATTGCTATTTATCCAAGAAATGAGCACCTTGGAGTCCCCTTCAACCCCACATAGTTGGACTCCAAGTTTCTTGGCTAACATCAGCTCTTGCATCAGGATTTAGGGATAAACACGCCTACCACGACTTGAGGAACCTCCAACCTGCACCCAAGGAGAGAGCACAACTCCAACCAAATACAATTTGCAAAGGTACAGGAGATTAGTAAATGGGGGATAGTTTCGCCGCTTGCTTTGCAAAGAAAACATATATGAGGGAAAAGGCAAATAAAATGCCTTCTTAATGCAACATATCACACGTACCGATCTTGCCCAGAACCACACCCCACCAGAAAGATTGAACCCTATGAGGCACATCGACTCCAAATTTCTTTCACAGGGAAGTTCATCTCCAAGTTGTTTGACTGGACTAGAGAGATGAAGAAAGAAGCACAAGAAAACAGACCCATGGGAGGGGGAAACCAAACTCTACTGCCCACAACTTGGCTATCCATAAAAACAGAGTCAAGTTTGGCCAAAATGATAATTAGGGAATTGCATTCAGAATCTCTAAGACCTCTTCTAGATCTAAAGGATATTTGGGGAACATCCGCATTTTCCGTTTTGTTGGATAATTGCATAAATACAGGCCATGGTAAAAAATAGCACATATACAAGAAGTACAGGGTTAAGCAGATAATTTTCCTCGGAGCATGCATACACATATGTCAATTTCTATGGGACTAGAAAGATATGGTACCTGAAAAGCGTAAATCAATCAGAAGCCCATGTAAATTTCAATAAATACCAGTTGAGCACATGATCATGGAGTAAACCATCAAGCACTTTTTTATCAGAAACAGAAATTTCCATTAAATGTGAATTTAAATCATTACATATGATGCTGGGACATTAATCCAGCAACCCATTCATTTATATCCACACGTTAACAATTCTGCCTAGAAAAACTGTTCCCTATAAACCCCCTGCTTTGCTAGGACATCAACTAATCCATTTGCCATTCTTTTCACCCAACTGAAAGAAGCATCCACCTGTATAGCCAAGCCAATCTTCTCATCTCCCTAAAAGTTAGTCTGAACAACCAAGCACCCAGATTGTCGCAGCTCATCCAGAGATAACTAATTTTGAATCTCCTTCAACCTCCCCCAGCTTCATTCCAAGCTGTTTAGCTAATTTCAGCCCTTGTAAGAGAGAAAGAACCTCAGCTTTTAAAGAGTCCTCATGTCCAATCGATCCAGAATACTACCACCACACCTTCATTTCTGAATACTCCCCCAATTACTGAGGGTCCAGGATTGCCCCAAGAAGTTCCATCAAAATTTAATATAACCTTAGTTCTAGTAGGGGTGTACTCGGTTGGTTCGGTTCGATTTGGATCAAACCGAGGACCTAACCGACTATTCTGTTTTACTATTTCCTCTAACCGAACCGACCTGAACTGAATTTGGTACGGTTTTTCGGTTTGGTTGGGCCCTGGCTCCACATAAATGATAAGCATTTAATAAGTGTTATTGATTAAAAGTTAAAATGGCCCCAAAACCCAATGATTTTAATTAATTAACGATTATTAATTAAAAGCTAGAATGACCCCAAAGCCCAATGGTTTTAATTAATTAGCTATTATTACTTAAAAGCCAAAATAGGCTCAAAGCCCTATGCCAATGGGGAATTGGCCATTTTCAAAAAACAATTAATGACTAATGAACAATTAATAATGAGTCTAGGTTTTAATTAACTATTATTAATTAAAAGTTAGAATGGCCCTAAAGCCCAATGAGGAATTGACAAATTGTTCATTGGAAAATATAATAATTAATTAGCATAAAGTATTAAATAAAGCATTAATATTTAATATTCTTGATTAAATAACAATATTAATTCGATTTTCGGTTCAATTCAGTTGAAAAATTCAGACAAACCGATCCAAAACTAAAAACCAATTTTTTGGAAAAATAAAAACCAAACCGAACCAATACCCATTCGACTTTGTTCGTTCAGTTTTTGGCTTATCAACCAAATTTAAACACCCCTAGGTTCTAGCGAGTTTGCCAGAAGCTGTTCCACTTTCTCCCTCTATTGTTTGGCGCCGAGGTTGGTGATACCCTAAGAAACTGTTAATATTCTTGATTTTTGGTCAAGTATACTTATCTAGGCATTCCAAAAGACGTATTTGAGCTGATCTAGTTTTATCTGGTTGCAATGGATCCTTTAGAAGGAGATTCCAAGCGTGTGTAGATACCTAGAATGTTGTGGATGTGTTTACAGCCGCTAACAGCAGCAGTAATGGGAGATTAACTCAGTGTTCTCATCTTATCTAATTCAATGTTCTCATCTTAGTGTTCTCATCTTATCTAATTCAGTGTACTCATCTTATCTAGCTAGATACAGTTCTATCTTATCTAGTAGGGAGTCTTATCT